AAGTGCTCTGAATGGCTCTGCTTCTCCACTATCAAATGCCATACCAGGGGCCTTTCTCTGCCCCTTCTAGGCAAGCGAGCTGGCGGGCGGGCATCCTGTACAGTGAGGCTGGATGTGCTTCTGCCGCAGCGGGGAGCTGGGCAGCCGTGTGTCCGGGCCGCTCGGACGCCGTCAGTCCTGCCTCTTCGGGCTGTGTGGTCCTGGGCGAGGCGCTCAGTGTCTCGGAGGCTCCGTCTCAGCACCTGTCCGAGGCTGATAACACATAACACACCCTCCCTCCTGCAGGCCTTGAGAGGATTAAGCGGGATTAGGTATGTAAAAGTTCTTTGTAACTAGTAATGCCCTCCGCAAATATTAGTTATTATGCCGTTACATTTCCCCTTTACAATCCAGAGCTTGGGATGGAAAAGCTCTCTACGTCCTTGATTAACACATCTCCTAGGTGCTAAGCTATTTTACGTCTTTCTTGTCCTCAGGTGTCGTAGCGGGTTTCACACTGGAACCCTGCCTTTAAAGCAGTTTTCAAGGACTTTAAAAAGCCAAACCAACCAGCCAGAGTTCTTATGGATGGTTTGCAAATCCCTAGAAACGATGATGTCAATGATACAGCTAACCGTGAAGGGCTGGCTTTGTGCCAGGGCCCCCTTGAGTATCACGGTTCACATAATGCGCATAGAACCCCAAGAGCTTGCTACCGTCACCATCCCCATCTTACAGATGGGGAAACAGAGGCACAGATGGGTACGTAACGTGAGTCATGGTGCCAGGCCGTGTCGCCAGTGCGGTGACCTGGCCCCGGATCACACGCTTCCAGGCACTTCCGTCTCTGCTCGGCCTCTGTCTCCGGTTCTGCCTGAGAGGTTGTGCTGCCCCGGGGATGTCAGTAAGCCCACCTCCGAGTTCTGAGTACCTCAGTACCGGAATCCGCCCAACAGCTAAGGAAGACAACTCAGGGAGAAACGCACCCCATAGAGAACTCTGATTTCACCTTCAGCACACAGGGACTCTCAGGGACTTCGTGTTCCATTCCAGCATGTCACTGTCAGGTGTCGGGCGGGCATTCTAGGTTTACAGTGGCTCTGTGACGAGACAATGACGGTGGAGGCAGAATGGTGGAAGACAATTTCCTTAAGTGACTTCATTCATTTCCTGCCTCTGCACATACAGGGCGGGGCTCTCAACCTTGTTCAGCCTCTGTTTCTTCACCAACCGGCAAACGTGCTTCTCAGGTCTGTAACAGTGTCATGACTGCAGACTTCGTGCTCTCTTCCTCTGTCAAGTTCCCTGAAGCCTCTGGTGGTCCCCAGTGGGTGTCACCAGCACCCCTAAGAAGCAGTATCAGCCCTCTCTGACATGAGCTTCCTGCCTCTCTTACTTGACTCTGTTTGCAATGCTGCCCGTGAGGCTGGCGAAGGCGCCTCCCCTGGCCACTGCTGTGTGGGCTGCCCCTGTATCAGGCTTCTGTGCCCCACACGTCATGACGCCACCACCATGTGCCCCCAATGCACTAAAAAGTGTCTCACTGCCCTGGGAAGGTCCTGCCCTTGGCTCCACTCATCTCCCTTTCCATTAGTTCATTAAGTCATGCAACAATGAGTCGTGGTTGCCAATTGTCCCCGGCACTGTACTGGGTACTGGGGATAAATGAGTACAGTCGGCAGACACTCTCCCTGCCTTCATGGACATTGTATCATGAAGGAGAAAGAGGTGCTACATGAGTAACTTATAATACAGTGTCTGCAAAGCCTGGAGACATTGGTGAATAGACGTACTGTCACTAGGACATCTGCAATCTGTGAAACAGTATTTCCCACCGAGATGCTCACCATGGAAGTCCCAGGGAGACCAGGCGGGTGTCCTGCGGGCTGTCTGCTCCAGATGCGTGCTCTCCCTGTGTGCCTGGGAGCAGGCCAAAGTCCTCTCTACAACGAAGATGGCATTTCCTCTGGATGCTCTGCGGGCAGGTGCTCTTTCTTCTGCCTTCCCGCACTTCCCACCGTGATGTCCACAGTCAGCTCATTCAATGTAAGGACCAGACTTCCCTTCGAAACTCTCTCCATGTCGTCTGATGACTGTATTAATACCCACCCCCATCCAATTCAGAGAAAGATTAAATGAGATAATGTAGGCTAAAGACTTCATGAATTGGCAGCTTTTATTATCAGAGTGATCATTTTTTTCATGAAAGTTACGTTAGTAGCCCAAGGTCACAGGGAGGAAGCATAGACACAGCCCACCCCCCTCTTCGCCTCCCTCAAGCGCACAGCGGAGGTCGTCGCATTTCAGAGCTCAGAGCCTTTGGAGGTAAAATCTTCCCGACACGCTCGAGTCCTGTGCTGTGATCAAGCCTCCAGGACCGCGCCTAGTCTGTGCCCCCTACCCGGGTGCGCTGCTGTGGACTACATTGGCCAACGTTTTCCAAAAGCACAGTTTGTATTTACTTTGTTTAATTCTTGCATTATGTTTGAGCCTCCTCCTAAAAGCATCTGTTTGCAAAAAGAGCCACGAGGGGAAGTTTGGTCCACAAATAAGAATATAATATTACACTGTTTAGCAGCACCTGGGCGTTACCCAGGTATTCAGTGGAGTTCCGCAATTCAACCGCCTCTCCTTCAAGACCATATTTAATAGGATAAACCGTGTCTGCTAAATGCGATCAACGTGAACCTGGGCTGTCATCTCCATAATCAACTCAAATTGCCCATTAGGAGCGGTGGCTGTGATGGAGATTCGGGATTTAATTTGGCGGCGCTGGCTTCGGCGTGCTGGTGTCGGCTTCGTGGGAGCCTCCTGTCAACCAAAGACAGAACCACTCCTCCCTACCTCCGGGATCTTAAGATAGCTTGTAACTCAAGAAAATTATATGGCCTCCGTATAATGAAAGAGATAAAACATAACTGGAGTAGCCTGTTGAAGTAACAACAGACAGCAAAGAAATAATAAGGCCCAAAAAGGCCCAGACCTGTCAGCTCCACGGCGGGGGACGTGGGACGCAGGAAGGCGGACAGAGTCACCACACTTGCAACAACCCCTGAGCAGTGAACCATCAGCTCCTTCTGGTGGGTGTTCAGTTCCAGAGAGCTGGTTGGGCCAAACTGGTGGGTGGTAGTGCCCCGTGCTTCGGTGTCATGGACATGTTAAGGTCTTAGTCCCCAGCACTGAGCACAGGGGCAAACTCAGGGCAGACGATGTGGCAAAAAACAAAAACAAAACAAACAAAAAAAAACCAACCCACACGAAACAGCAACAACAAAAAACTGGTTAAAAATGAATAAGATGAACCAATTCACCTTCCACGAACTTGTTTACTCCTACCAATTTAATTTCAACAGATTCACATAAAATTCTGGAATCAGACAGAAAGTACCCAAGAGCAAAGAAAATATTAAGGGATATTTTAATATCCTAGAACAAATGAGAGCAATAAAGATTAAATGATCACTTGACTCAGTCTCACAGTAAACAGATTCTGGTTTTCAGTAGCCCGAAGATCATCTGTCTGCCTTACCATCCTCTCCGAGTGCCTCCCTCCCCCGGTGGAATGCGCACGAAGGCACGGTGAGCAGAGCGGAGGCAGGGCGGGAGGTCTGCATGGCGCACTGCCCACACCCTCAGCGCGACCTTTTCCTGCCATGTTTTCTCTTCCAGCCAACACAACCTCTCCTCTTGTTTTATTTTTTTCATTATTTTTATAATACTTTTTAACAAATCATTTTTTTCTTTATTGATTTTAGAGAGAAAGGAAGGGAGAGGGAGAGAGAGACAGAAACATCATTGAGAGAGAACATCGATCAGCCGCCTCCTGCATGCCCCCCACTGGGGACGGTCCCACAATCTGGGTATATACCCTGACTGGGAATCAAACCGGCGACCTCTCGGTGCATGGGTCAATGCTCAACCACTGGGCCACACCAGCCAGTCTTAAAATACTTATTTAGTTGTTTTTCTTAGAGAGAGAGGAAGGGAGAAGGAGATAGAAACATCAGTGTGAGAGGGAAACATTGATCAGCTGCCTCCTGCATGCCCCTTACTGGGGATCGAGCCTGAAACCCTGGCATGTGCCCTGAGCAAGAATCACACCGGGACCTGTCAGTCCACGGGACGATGCTCAGTCCACTGAGCCAGATGAGCTGGGCTCCATTCTTTTCTTTAACTGTTTCTCATTCAGTAATCAGTTTCCCTGGCTCTTATCTCCAACTCAAGATCTATGGGTCCCACTCATGTCACAATTCGGCCGTGCCCCAGAACTCCTCTTTGCAACACCCACAACCACACCCTTCCTGTGCTCAGCATTCACCCTCTCAGGATGCTCGTCACACACACACACACACACACACACACACACACACACACTATTTCCTAAGTTCTATTTCATAAAATATTCTTCATTAATCAAATGTCCAAATTTATTAGAGAAAGGGAACATCATAATTACGAGTTTAAAACCCTGGAACCCAAGTGCCCAGGTTTGCACCCTAGTCCTCTGTAAGCCTGGACAAGTCACTTACCTGTTCTGAGACTTAGTTCCCCTACCTGTCTGACAGGGCTCCTAGATAGCGGCCACCTTATAAGGTTGTCATGAGGGTGGAATGACCACACCGATGAATTAAGCATTGTGGTTGGTACAAAGTTGTCATTCAGTAAATATTAATGGCCATCGTCATTGAATGAGACAGTGCACTCAAGGGAAGAGTGACTTGATATCTGTTCATTGATTCATTATTGGACACCTACTCTGTGCCAGTCACTGCAAGACAGCAGGACTTCATAACGACTAACTGCCGACACAGGTCCTGGCTGGCAGTCGGTGTGCGTGGGAGAAAAATGCAGAGGTGGACGAAGGGACAATTACCAAGACCTTAAGCCCCCCAGGAACCGATAAGCATTAAAGTCACTATGTGTTCCATCAATGTGCGCTTTACAAATCTTTATTTCAGACATCCTGTGTGGCTCCCCTTCAGCCTGGGCTGGTCCCCGGTGGGCGCTGGGATGGGGGTGGGGCTGCCTGAGCTCCAGGGCGTGGCAGTGTCACCGTGTGCGGCCCCCACCTCAGTGCCGCCAGCTAGGAGCCCTCTCCTCCTTAGCAGGTCCGTGTTTCTGAAGCAGGGCCGGAGCAGGGGCTGCCCCCGTTTTGAGGAGGTGGGTTGTTGCACTGCCTCTGTCTTGTTTTATGTCCTCCAGAACATGGAGACCAGCTTGACCAGCAATTCCACTGCCCATCAGTGGGGACATCTGTAAGAAAGAAGGTCAAGAAACCTTGGTTAGCCCTTATCACACTGGTGCCTTATAGGTGGGGTGGGATGTATAATCCAGGGGCTTTGGGAGTCTGAATCTCTGATGTTCTCCCTCCAGTCAACTGTACTTGTTTCAGGCCAGAGTTTTCACCATGCTGTCCCCCCTGCCCAGACACTGTTCCTTCCTCTGTTCATCTAGTCAGTCCTATTTACCCATCAGATCTCCGTTTAAGGGTTATTCTTACAGGGAAACCTTCCCTGACCCCACCTCCCGATCAACGCCCCCCCTTCGCTGCACTATTGTCTGTGTCCATGGGTTATGCATATATGTCTATTAGTTGTTTGGTTATCTCTTCAATGTATAAAATAGGAGCTATGTTATCTACTGTGAGCCTTGTGTGTGTTAAATGAGGTAATAACACTGACATTTGCCTTTCCCCTGGGGATTTTTTGGTTGATGAGATAGGTAAGTGATCAATTATATCCACCATGATATATCATGTGTCTGGATGGGCCTCTAACTCACAGTGTAATTCTGAGCACACTACTTAATGTCTCTGGGCCTCCCCATCTGTGAAGTGAGAAGGCTGGGGTAGGAGCTTCTCAAGGTCTCTTTCAACCAGTAGAAATCCTGTAGCTATACGAATGCACACTCCCTGGTGGATCGCTGTGCGGGGCTCGGTTGAGATGTGGGAGTCTTGAGTGAGAGTGAAGACAACTCTGTGCACCCCACTAGGGAGGGGAACAGTGCAGGCAGGAGTCAAGATCAAAGACTGTGGACTCAGACCCACTGAATCTGAACACGTACTGACTATGTGACCATTGGGAAAGTTAGTTTGTGGCCCATTAAACCTCAGTTTCTCCATCTTTAAAAGGGGATAGTGACAGTAACTACTTTATGAGATTGTTGTGAGGATTAAAGGATTTAATATGTGTGAAATACAAATATAATATATGTAAAATACAAAATATACAAAATAGATGTAAAATTAATATATATAAAACACAAAAGGATTTAATATAGGTAGCACCATTTATTTAGCTCAAACTAAACAATATTGATTTGGCTCTTACAATGTGTTTTGGCATCATTCTCAGTGTTTTATAAGTCTGATGAGGAAGAAACTCAAGACAACTCTCTGAGATAGTTAAAATCATCATCTCCAGTGTATAGATGAGGAAACTGAGGCACAAAGAGGTGAAGTAAACCTCTTAAGGTCACAGTTATTAAACAATAGGGATGGAATTTGAACCCAGCTGAGACCAAGCACTTAGCAAGGCACCTGGTATGCAGCCAAGTACCTAATAAAAGTATTGTTTCTATTTGCTGTATCATTCCCCTTTTTAATGGTATCACCAAGAAGTTGCAGAAAGGAAAATAAAGGGAAGGAGGAGTAGGGGATTGAGAACTCCTAAATAATAAATGGGCCAAAGAATTTGAAAGCTAGAAGGGATCTTAATGATGGTTTAGTCTTTCATTTGTTTCTTCAACACATATCACTGAGCAGCAACTGTGCTGGGACATGGGGGCACAGGGACAAATTGAACATGATCACCCCTACTCACAGACACAGGGGAATAGACACATGGAACACTAAATATAATATGCTAACAGCTATGATAAATATATGTTCAAAGTCCTATCAGAGTCCAAAGGAAGAATTAAATAATTCTGCTTGGGGAGGGGGAGGAGTGAGAGGACTTTTTACAGAACAAGAGGCATCTGCACAGAGCTGTGAGGGATGAATAGGAGTTCGCCAAAAAGAAAAAAAAAAAAGCATTCCAGAATGTTCCAAAGAGACGACTTGCAAATGTCACTAGTCATCCTATAACATGGAGCACTCTCAATTGTGAAAATAATGAAATATACAGTCCGGAGCCAGGATGGACCCCAAGTTTCATAGCATCCAGCTCCCTACCAAACACACCTCACTCTTACTGTTTTGAATTATTCTCTAGTCTTCTCTAGAGTTTCCTTTTCCCACCAACTGTCAAAGACTCCTTACTTTTCCGGAGGGTGATCTCACAGCCTTGGCCTTGAAACCCATTAGGACAGATGCAGTCACAGCGTGATCCTGAAAAGACAACGCAGAGAGAATGTGAACTGTAACCATGTGATGCAAAGAATTCTTGCAGTTCATTCCCTACATCACTGCTTTTCCATTCGCTTAAAAGAGGGCAAACATTTAGTTGAATGGTCTGAAATACGCCAAGAATACCTACTCCTTATTGAGGATCCTTTGCTCATAGAAGAATGTATTTATTGCATCATGGGGAATTACATGGAGTTGTTGAGAAATGTCACTCATTAGCAGAAATTTGACTTAGTCTTATATGTTCAGAGTCAGAAGTTACATTTGTGGTCAGTGAGGCCAATGGTCATTTTCACCACAGGTAATTATCTAACCTCTGCTTGAATACCTCTAGTGATGGGGAGCTCACCACCTTTAGATGTCTTATGCTACCTTTGGCCAATTCTAACACTTTGTAAGTTATTCCTTATGTTAATCTGCAACATGTCACCTTGGAGTTTCCTCATCTGGGTCACCCTGAATCTCTTCGCAGGACTGTCTTTCATAAATCAGGCCCTGCGAGCATCCCAGCCCTGTCTTCATTTCTCCGTCACCTCCAGGGTAGAACCTCAGGTGGATCCCAATTCCCAGGCCCAAATTTCACAAGAGGCAAGAGGAATTTCAGCAACCCTAGATCAAACCTTGAGCTGGGGAGCTGATATACTTCCTGCTGAACTGACCCTTTCTTAGGTGTCCTTGTCCTGATGGCAGAACTTCCCAGCCTTAGGCTCTCACTTATGTCTGCTTTGCTCATATCCATCCTGTCCAACAAGTTAGACACACGCTCCTCAACCTCAGCTACGTAGCTGGGATCCTTCTCCATGAGAACAGGTCTCTGGATCCCTTCTGTTGAGCTTGCTTCACCAGCACGGTTTGTTCGGCCAACTCCAGCGGCTCCCAGGGCAGTTCTCACGTGTAGCCTGGGCTGGGATCTGTTGCCTCAGAGGACTGACATGTGCTTTGCAGTGAGGGACACCTGAGTGCAGGGGTCTCCTAGGTCCAGTCCAGGAGAGGTGGGGACCTAAGCTGTTGTGAGTCACACCCAGGCTGCAGGCTGGAACTACCTAGAGAGGGTTTCACCACCCTGACGAGGGATCCTTCTCCTAAGACCCTCACGTCATGACCCGGGTTGGGGCCCAAGCATCAGTCGTTCTGACAGTCTCGAGTACAGGCTCACCTCGCTGTACCGCGCCTTGCTTCACTGCCCTTCACAGGTGTTGTGTTTTTATGTGTTTTGGATTTTTTAAAAAGAATAAATAAAAGGCAAGGCTCTCCACCAGCAAAAAGGGTATGCCCATGGTTCTAATGCCGAGTTAGGTTGAAGGTGCTCAGCTTTAAGAGACTCCTTTCCCCTGTGATAATGAAAAGAGCTTCATGCCAGACCCTGGGGCCTGAGGCAGAGGACTGAGGGTCGGTCTGGAACTGTTCTTGAGCTCCTCTGGAGGGTATGCGGTTTTGATAACGTGCTCTGGCCCCAGAACCGGCCCCTGCAGATGAGGGTTTCCACGGGGAGACCTGCTGCCTGGAGAGGGTACCTTTCAGGACAGGGACTCCATTGCCTAGGCAGGGAGCACAGAGGCAGGAGCTGACTTCCTTCTGGAACTCCTCCAGGGCCCGCTTCATGTGCTGCTTCACCGTGCTGGAGTAGGCGACGTCGGCGGAGGTCACCAGCTCATACAGGGGCTCTGCCTGGGAAGGAGCAAAGGCATCCGTGTCAGCAGAAAACACTCATCAGATAGAAGCGTAAAGCGAGTTTCACAGGAATGGGCAAGGGGTCCGTGTGCAGAGACCAGCAGTGGAGTCACGTGGAAACGGACAAAGGCCACGGTGGCCGATGGACGCCCCGTCGTCTTTCTGTCCCGCTCCACCTCATATCCACAAAGCAGCTCATTCCAGTTCAGGTCAACCAATACTTACTGAACACCTCCCAAGTGCCAGGAATTCTGTACAAGTAAGGCTGAGGGAAAACTCCTCTCAGGATACTCAGAATCTAGAGATAGAAACAAACGCACCAACAGCACAGTGGTGACAGCTAGCAGCAGAGTCTTGAAATGGATAGAGGAGCAGGTGCTTAATCTGTCTTCGGTGGGGGGAGGAGGTGATTTTCAAGCAGCTCTTTAAAAGCATTAAACTTAAAGGAACCTTGTCCTAACACCGCTCCCCCTTCCGAATCTATCAAAAGTGTGCACACCATGCAAGAGGCACTATCAGAAGCCTTTCCCAAGCTCCAAAGCTCACGGAACACATTCCCACCACGAAATGCTCAGAACACTCTATACTACTCATCCATACAAATTCTTTTCGCTCCCTTGTGGTCATTACATTCTTTATGTGTTGAAATCCTCCCCGCCCCCCCCCCCCCCCACACACACACCCTCTTTCTTCTCTAATTAGATTGAAGAACAGGGCTACACGCTGCTCCTCTCTGTGTGTGGGATCCAGCCCTGAGCTTAGTGAGACCACTGATCCACTGATCCAGTGGATAATTCAAGGGGGACCGAAGACCTCATCATCAGGGCAGTAGCAACAGGCAAGGAGGAGAGGGTGTGCATAGCAGAACCAGACAGGCAGAAAGAGCGGTGCCAGCCACTCGGAAGCCACGGATGGAAGTGGTGGTATTTGTAGGTCAGGACAAACCAGAGACAAAGTCAAAGCGTGTTGAGTCTCTTGGCTCTAGTTTCAGCTCCAGGGCCAGGCTCCTCTCCAGATTTTGTTAGTGACCCTGCCCTAATCCAGCCCTGGAGAGTTTAGGGTCTGTCTAAATGCAGGCAATCATGCCTAATAGAAGCCTCCAGTGAGAAGAAAATTGCTTCCATTTCTTAATGCATCTGATGCTGACCTTCGCCCCAGTGGGCAGAGCACAGCCCCTTGGTGGGCTCATTGTCTCACCGTTTTGTGGTCAATGAATTGATCCAGAGGCTGCTTGCAGAACTCTCCAGCCTGCTGGCCAGCACATGGGGGAGGGTCTGCTATACCCCAACACTCAGCTTTCCCTGTGGAGGACCCTGGAAGGCTGTCTTTAACCACCCAGGCGTTTTCCTACCGGCACTGAGGTTTGCTCCAGGAGAGAGCAAGTCAGAGGCAGAACTGGAGTAAATCTCACACGAACGCTGTGTGCCAGGAGCTGCGCTGGTGGTTTACAGATGTGATCCCACTTTTGTTCTCAGAAGGCAGCAGTTATTAGTCCTGTTTTCAGGTGAGGTTAATTGACTTGAACAAAGTCAAACAACTCATAGAATAGCACTGCTGGCGTTCTAACCCAAAGCCTGTATTTTTCCTACTCGTTCATGACGATTACTGATAAAAATGTCTTGACTTCCCATTTCTAACCTCTGTCCCAGGGTTCTCCAAATGTTGCAGACTTGGGTGGAGTTCTGAGCATCAGCTCCTCAGAACTTCATAGCTCTGTTATATGGATGAACTAGAATATATTCAACTCTTGCCCTGTTATAAAATCTTTAGGATGTTCCCTTTTTTCCTTTTCTTTTTGCTATTACAAATAACATCAAACAAGGCTTGTTTTTATACATACATCTTTACCAACTTCTAAAATTATTTGTTTTGCTGATTCTGCATGTAGGGTTATTAAATCAAAAGCTATAAGCATGCCCTGGCTGGTTTGGCTCAGCGGTTAGAGCGTCGGCCTGCGGTCCAGAGAGACCCGGGTTCGGTTCCCGCTAAGGGCACGTACCTCGGTTGCAGTTTGTCTCCGGCCCTGGTTGGGTTGTGCGGGTGGCAGCCACTCGATGTGTCCCTTTCACATCGATGTTTCTCTCTCTCTCCCTCCCACTCTACCTGAACAAAAAATGGGAAAATGTCCTCGGGTGAGGATTTAAAAAAAAAAAAAAAAAGCTGTAAGCATTTTTAATGCTTTGAATATATATAGTTACATTCTTTCCCTAAAGGGTTGTACTGATTTATAGTCTCATCTCATTTTATAAACATGTCCCTCTCATCACTCTCAATAAACATTAAGTATTATAGATTTTTAATCACTGTCGATTTGATGGGTAAAAAAATAGTGTTTTTTACTTCAATTTTTATTCCTAGAGAAGTTGAAAATATTGCACATTTCTTCATCATCTGAGTCCTTCTGAGTGTTGTCTATTTCTTTGAGCTGTATCTTTCTTATAAATTGCATTAATTTCTTATACATTTAGAATTTCGTTTGTGGCAAAATTATTTTGTTGGTGTATAACTTGCCAGTTAATGCTATTCATGGTTTCCTTATTTGAAATTCAGAATTTATTGTTTAGGGTGCCTTCCAGCCGTCCAAGTCCAACATTCCCTCACCAGGCAACGCTACCACCCCTGGACCGTGACCCTCTCTGGGTCAGAGCAATGCGCTTGTAGAGGATCTCCGATGAGGTGCTTCTGGGCAGGGGCTGGGCTGCAACCCCGTCACCCTTGGGGACAGGTTTCCGACAGTGAAAGGTGCACAGAGGGAGTGTCCTTCCAGGGTAAAGCCTCCGTCACCTGGATCCCCGGGCGGTGTTGAGAAAAGCCCCTGGCCAGTATACTTTTGAACGTACCACTGAGATTTGGGGGTTGTTTCACTGACATCTCTGTGGGCACCATTCACTACCGTACCTTTTCTTTCTGCCCTGGGCAAGGCCCAAACTCCATACAATATCTTCCATCAGCCTGGATCTCAGACCACAACCTAGCTACCTGGACCACTGTAGAAATGTACATGAACGACAGACGTGGTGACGAGGGCTGCCAGTTAAACACAGATTTCCCAGTTAAGATCGAATGTCAGATAAACAACAAATAACCTTTTAGTGTAAGTACGTCCTATGAATACTGAGGAGATGCTTATACTAAAAATGATTCCTTATTTGTCTGAAATTCAAATTTAATTTGACACCCTGAATTTGCATTGGATAAATCTGGCCACCCTGTACGTATTCCTTTAATATCTCGAAATGTCTTTGGGGTCCCTGAAGGGTCATTTCAATGGGCCATGTGCTGTTTCCTTCCAGACCCCATGGTTGTTACTTCTTTGTCTTCAGGCAAAGAATTATAAGACCAGTATGACTTATACATATATATAGGCTGTGTTTGCCTCTAAAATTAAAACAAAATCACCAGGATATATTTCAATATTGTTTTTTTTTTTAATTTTTTTTTCCCCCAGTACTTTTGCCAACTTTCCAATGAGCTAGCTGCTCATTTTGCTCTATCAGCTCGGGGACATTCCCTCATGTGTTTGACGAATGCATCTTCACATTTAATCCTGCCTCTTTCTCAGGAACAAGTCCCTGCGTTTTAGATTGCCACTCCATACACTCTTGTCCATCATGTTTCTTTTATGCCATTGTTTTCAGCCTGCTGTCTTTTGCTCCCACATTTTAAGAACATTTTTACGGCACCTTCCACATCCCTGACTCAGCTTGCTGCCGTGCCAGTTCTGATCTTTACAGTGTCCAGTGCAGGCTTTAATCCTGCCATTGTGCCTTTGGTTTCCCCATTCAGCTACCCCCCTTTTCGTCTGACTGGTGTCCAAACATCTCAGCTCCTATTTTTATTTCATCAATCCCTCATTTTCTTGAATGTTGTTATATAGTCACAAAGCCGATGCATTCCAAATTTACTTCTATTCTCCCATACTTGAGGTGGAGGCTTGTCTTCTGCATCTCGAATGTCATGTCCATCTTCTGTGTTCAGAATTTTCTTTAGATGCCTATCGCTTTCTCTTAACTCTCCTTTGAACCAAAGGCCGTCTCTCTGGGTCTCAAGTGTGCCAGCAGACGGTGTGAACGGCTCGTCTGTGCTTGTCTGCCCAGCCCACCTGGCTCCGACAGGAACCATGCTTCCGATGTGATCTTCAGCAGCGGTTTACGCACACAAGCCTTGGCTGACGCTTGTGTTTCGGAATTGCCTGTGCAGCGGGCTTTGCTGTCCTGGAAGCGCTCACCACCCTGGCTGCCAGGTAAGCGGACTCCGCGGAAGGAATTAGAGACCCTGCAAAGCCATCTGCAGTTTTCTCCTGCCGGAAACTGCAAGAGATGCCCAGAATGTGTGTTTCCAACTCAGGAACGTCCAGGGGAAGCGTGTCAAGACCTCCCACCATCCTGCGTCCCCCATTCCTGTTGAAAACCTCTCCGATTCTTTCACCTCTTCCCCCTTTTCTGCCCAGGGCCCTCCAGAGCCCTCCGACAGCGGGCGTGACTTTCCACGTGTGCTGAGGAGCCTCCAGGAAGCGCCTCACACCTGTGGCTGCTTGCAGGCCTGCTTGAGATGCTTCACGTGCTAACACACCCCACATCGCATCCCATAGCACGTCATAGGCTTGGCACCTGACATCCCCAATGCCCAGGCTGGCATATCCAACCTGTTTAGGCAGGTAATCAGGGCAATCCATTAATTCTCAGTTTTAAATAAAAGATTCAGGAAAGAGATGACTAAAATATAAATACCAGGTATCTATTTTTCCCTGAACTCTGTTCTATCCCATGCCCATCTGTGATACCAACCACTGTCAGCATGCCATCAGCCAAGCCCAGGTTTCTCTGGAGCTGCCTGCAACATTGTCCTTCTCGATGCCTGCCTAAGTGTCACTACTGAATACGTGGTAAAGGAGAGGATTTGAACGGCACCTTCTTTGTCTGCAGAAACTAGGCATTTGACACACAAACAAAGACCCTGTAGGATATGCCAGGGTTGGGAACTGCAGAGCCTCCCATCAGACCTCCAGCCCCTCAGCTCCCCTCCTTCGCTGCAACAGTAAATCTCCAGGCGCTGGACGCTGGACCATCAGGGGCTGTACAGCTGATGCAAGAAGAGGACAGTGTAAGATATGACATGGATACTGTCGTGAAGGCCCCACAGGCAAGGACCTACCACTGCTGATAGGCATGACAGTCCTGCTCCAGCAAATGTCTTTTTAGTTTAAGCTTGCAAAACTGCTCTTGTTTGGGTGACAGGTGGTTGGGATCATTATTTTTTATTCACTAAACCCACAGGAGAGTCTGGAGGGGAGGGGAAGGTGCGAGTCTCGGGTCTCCCAAGCAACCACAGATGGGGGCAACCCCTGTGACCTTAATTTTTATCACCCACAAAATAAAAATAAGCATATTAATTGGCAGACGTGTAGGGACTGAATGAAATAACATGTCAAAGCCCCTGGCCGAGTGTTATGAATACAGCAGGTGCCCAAAAGATGTTAGTGATTACCCTGATGTATTATCCTGTCCTGTAAGACAGTTATGCCTGATGTGTCTTACTGTTCAGCATCGACTCTATTTTTCATTTTTGCACCTTCCTCTATCTTCCTCCAGTGCCTTAGTTCCTATCACCTTGTAGGAACACAGCGACTATTTGTTGGTTGCCTGAATGGCTATTTAAATGAGCAGATAACTGAATGAGCAATTCTCTAATGAAATAAAAACACTATTAATTTAAAAGGGGAGGAATTAGAAGCTGATGGTTAATGTTCTTTAGAAACTTGGGGGCCTCCGTGAGAGGGTGTCAGGGTCTCTGGCTGATGCTACACAGTGTGCTGAAATTGGTTCATTCCAGATGCATTTTCCACTGCAATGCTAGTGCCTCAAGGTCAGGGCCTGGGTCTTGTTGAGCTCTGTGACCCATACCCCGGCTCACAGCAGAGGGAAGGAAGGGTCGAGCAGCTGCCCAGCTGTACCTTAATCTTGATGATGTCCGGGTTGTACTGCACGGCATCGCCCCACTCCTGCATCAGGTCCGCTGTCGGCAGGTCCTTGTACGCCAGGGCGGTGACGTACTCACTTGCTCCTCCTCGCACACGGACCACCAAGTCCTCTATGATACTGTTTTTCTTCTTTCTGTCTGATATGGACACAGAGATCTGGGATGTCAGGGAATCTACTTTTGCACCTTAGAATTTACTGCAACCTAACTAACAGTCCTATTACTGTGGTTCACTGAGCTGGCCCTGGAGAAGGGGGCAGACAAGACACGTGCCTGCCAGCAGGGGAGTCCCAGGGCAGGGGGCTAATGACAGCTCATCCAATCGTATGTGATGCAAGCTGGGGGCAGAACAGGAGGGACATTCATTTTGAGCTTCTATAAATGCCAGTCACTCAGTGAGTCAATGGAAAGTACATATCTGATCTAGGTAGTTAGACAGGCACATATGGATTGATTAATAAATCATAGATATGTAAGTAGATTAGTAGATAGCTGAGAGATACATACCTATATACATATATATATTCATATGGGTAGATGGATAGATCATAGATAGGTAAATACATTGGTAGATAGATAGGTACATAAGTCCATCCATACAGAGAGATAGATTCATAGATCAAAGATAGGTAAATAGAGTGATAGATTGTTGATCACTTAGGTGTCAGTCACTAATCTAAGTGCTGTACATGTATTCACTCAATCCTCACTATGACACAGAAATGATACAATCCTTTACAGATTAGGAATTTTAGGCACCGGGTGTGAAGGAACTTAGCATACAGCCCTGCCCAAGCTCTAAGCGATATCATCTCTTTGTGCGGGATGACAAAGCCGGGACAATTTGTAAAGGCTGGGCTCTGCACAGGATACACACCAAGAGAGAGCATCCACTATAAAGTGATTCCTTTGCCTTTCATGGAGTTTCCCAGAAACCCCTCAATCATATCAGTGACTCGTTCCCATTCTCATTTATCTGTGTGCCCAAGGCCAAAGGAACTGGTATAAGGTGACTACTCAGCTCTATACCCGCAGCGCCTGAGCACCGGGTGGGGCAGCCTTGCTCCTGCTGGTAGGAGTGTAACCCGGTTCAACCATTTCAGAGAACAGGTCGGCACTAACTAATCTAGAAAAAGAGCACCCTCGAAACCCGACAGTTCCACACGTGTACCCGGGAACCAGATGTCTGTGAGAATGCTCACAACAGCCTCAGTTCTAAGTGTGTGAAATAGCAAAGTATTTATACAGCAAAACACTACACAGTGAAGCAAATGAGCTAACTATAGTTATGCACAAAGACATGATGTTGAATGAAAAAAAAAAACACCCCACAGAACTGAAAAGATTACATTCCATCCACATACAGCTCAAAAATAAGCAACATGAAGCCATGCTGGTCAGCGGTACACATGGACGGTAAAACTATTAGGAAAGGAAGAACATGTTTAACATAGAAGTTAGGGCGGTGTTATCTCCGAAAGGAAAGGAGGAGCTGTGATTGGCTAGGGTTTCTGGGGTGCTGAGCAATTTCTGTCTAGTGACCCTGATGGAGGTTACTTCCTTCACGAGTCGTCTTTAAAGAGCACCTGTGGCCCTGGCCAGTTTTGCCCAGCAGTTAGAGCGTGGGCCTGTGGACTGAAGAGTCACGGGTTTGATTCTGGTCAAGGGCATGTATTTGGGTTGCAGGTTATGCAGGAGGCAACCAATCGATGTTTCTCGCTCTCTCTCTTTAAAAAAAAATCAATGGAAAATCACCCTTGGGAGGATGAACAAAAAAATAAAAATAAGATAAATAAATAAAGAGCACCTGTATTTTATGTGTGCCTCCGCATGCAGGCTGCATCTTCCAACCCCGCTGCCCCAAAATGGACAAGTAAAACCACACATCAGTCACAGGCAGGAGACTGTTCTAGACCAGCAGTTCATTTTTGTTGTTCTGTTTCGGCTGTGTACAAGGAGGGCTGCTCGCGTTGCTGCAGGGTCGGGGATTGGAGCCCTGCGGGTCAGTCTCCTTCCTACTCCACTCGCTGTTTGAGTCCCAGCTGCCTCGTATGGCCTTCAAGATTCCTGCTCCTCAGACACTTGGCTCAACACCCTGGCTTCACACGCACCTCCGCTCGGGTCTCCTGCCATGTGAGCTCCGCTCCATGATTTGTGGCTTTGCCTGCTCCTCTTGTCTCTAAAGCCCACGGTCTCAGGGAAGGACCAGCCCCCCAGCAGTCTCCCCCGACCCCAGCACCCTACAGCTGGCTGGGCCAACTCCCACCCAGCATCGGGACTACTTTTCCATTGTTAGATTTTTTCCTCCTGCCTAAAACACAGCCTCGATACTTTACTCCTCCAGTGGCAATTCAAACGATCCCTCCCTTAGGAAGCCTGCCCCGATGCTCCCGACTGGGTTTGGTGCTTAGCATAGTCTCGTCATTGGTTCCTTGGTTGTCTACTTCATGGGGGCACCATGAGGATAAAAATACTATTTTATTCATTTTTGTATGCCCAGCTCATAGTAGGGGCTAGGTAAATTTTTCATGAGTGAATTACTATAATTGTTCTTTTTAAATTCTTATCCAAAGACATGTTTTCTTGATTTTGAGAGAGAGAGAGAGAAACATTGATCAGGATTGAACCTACAACCTAGGTATATGTCCTGACCAGGAATCAACCCCGCAGCCTTGTGGTGTACGGAATGATGCTCCAACAAACTGAGCCACCCGGCCAGGGCTGAATTATTATTTTCATTGAAATGCCTTGGAATATCCGGGATTTAACGGAAAGAAAGACAGGGTCCTGGAGGTGCCGAGAGGGAAAGGTGACAAGCACGAAGTCGCGGGCCCTGCCACTCACCACTCATCTCCTTCAGAATAGCCTCGCACTGCTCCATCGACACACCAAGCCTCAGGTACAAGGCTTTAAAGGCAGCGCCGACTCTGAAACCTGCTTTGGCACAGTCGTGAACATCCTTGAGAGAAAAATCTGAAAGCAGCAAGAAAAGAGGCTCATGACCAAAAGGTAATTCACCGTGTCCCTTTTCCTGATGTCACGGGGCTATGCAGGGACTTGGGTCCAGATGGATGGGTGGCCAGCCTGATGACAAGAAAGGCAAGCAGCTCCCACACCAGGGCAGAGACCGCATAGGAGACCGGGGTCAGGTCCCTTTTCAACCTCCTCAAGGGTTCTGAGGGTTTTTGCCGCCCAAGATGGGCAGTGCTGAGTCCTTTTCTAACAATGCGATTCCTTATCGAGTCTCCAAGGACTGACCCGATGATTATAGGGGCTGCAACTTCCATTCCCTGGACCCACCCTTCTCTAATCTTCCACGTAGTAGAAAGAGCTTGTGAATTGATTAATTGAGGCGATGCCTAGAAAGTATCTGGAGCAGTACCTGGCTAAGGAGCCCATTCCTTATTTCTTCTCCATTTCTGCATCATTTCTCATTTGTCCTGTTCTAATTCTCCCCAGGCCTCCTCCTGCCCTGGGCTTGCCGAAATCCCAGGGGTGACCTGTAAGCACCTTTCTGTAGCACTTTGAAGCCAGTGCAAGAACAGGAATTTTGACGACTTGGGTTGTCTAGTAACGCTGGTGCAGATCAGTATTCCCCAAAGCGTGTTCCCTGAAACATGAATGCCTTGATAGTATCTCTTATAATTCTTATACTGGTTAGTTTAACAAGAAAAATGGCTTCTGTGGTCCAGTCAGTGTGACCAGTGTTGCGTCAGAAGAGGTAGAAGGTCATTTCATGGCATTATGCTTGTGAAACTCCTACAGGGGGGGTCTGTTATGTCTCCCCAACTTATTTTATCACAGAGCCCATTTTGAAACCATTGCTGTGGAGAAAATTACCCTCAATCTTGGCAAGACTGAGGCCACCACGTCATAAATTTACACTATGTACCCCATGGCTCCCAGCAAGTACACTGGACTTATAACCAAGTCCAGGCTCTGCCACTGTAAACTATGTGACTAGGGCAGGTCACTTAACCTGACACGTGCCACACTGTTTGAAACAACGCTCGATTGGGAGGCAGGAATCACACCGTGGACTTGTAGGTGATCCCAGCGGGAGAGACCGGCACTGTCTGCAGGGAGAATGACTGCAGAGGAGGAGCGGGAGTAGACTTTCAGTTTGGAGGCTATGGTGATCGTCTCCAACCTTGATGTCCAAAGCGGGGTTCACGGATCAGCAGCACAGACATCACGCTCATTAGAAATGCAGAATCGTGGGTCTGCCCTGAAACTCACTCATCAGAATGTGCCTCTTACAAGACTCTCAAATTGTTCGCATTTTCAAAAGTACTGGGCCTGGGGTGAGCGCAAGAGGGTAACAGAAACTAGAGAGAACATGCAATTTGGGGCTAGAGCCATGGGACTTGCTAATAGCTTGAAGGGAAAGTAAAATAACCAAGGTTGACGCCTTGGTTTTTAGCTTGAGCCACTGGCTGGGTGACAGACCCGTTCTGAGATGTACACAACTATAGGAGAAACATATCTGGGAAAGAAAAGCAAATGTTCTCTTTGCGGGTGTGTTTGAGATGCGACGGTGGTTAGATAGTCGGAGGGACACAGACAGCAAGGAGGCATTTTGACGCAAGCGCTCAGCCGCAGAGAAGAGACGCAGGATGGAGAGATACATGGGGCTTATCTGCAAGCTGGAGGCATTTACAGCCATGACTTCAGATGCTAGTGTCCGGAGAGAACAGTCGTAGAAAACAAGGCTGCCTGGCCAGAGGGTTGGGTGGAGGACCAACTGTAACAAGTTAAAAAACAGAGGAGGAATCTACCAAAGAACCTGAAAGCAGAGCCAGGGCGGGAGAAGGGGAACGAGGGGCACAGCTTACAGCTCTTCCCCCGACAGCTCACGGAAGGCCCTCCCCGCCCACACACGCAGCTCACGCGCCGCCTACCTGATTTCTCCAGGGCCTCTTGGTCCACAACAAGCGTGTATTCATAAACGCCCCCGAGCACGGCCTCGGTGACGAAGTGGGTCCCGAAGTCGCGGAAGAGGTCGCGGTACTCCGCGTAGCCGAACTCGAGCGGCAGCCGGCGCAGGCGCTGCAGGAACTCGTGGTGCAGCATGCGGCCCCGGGACTTCAGCGCGTAGCGCGCCACGACCAGGTCGGAGCGCGCGTGCAGGAATTTGCTTCTCTAAATGAAATACCCCCATGGGAAAACCAGACCTTTAACGTTCGGGATCTGGAACGAGGAGATGAACTTTACAAATACCATCCGATGTTCTCGACCGGGGGTCATCACTCTTACGATTCCTTTGGGGAACCTGCGGGGGGGGGGGGGACGGCCTCTCCTACAAGCTGTCTTGTCTCATAAATACTCCGCTGTCCTTCCCAGCTTGGAAGAGCAGCTCTTGTTCACCTCCTCCAAGTAGCTCGTGAGGGAGGAGAAGGGGAGGGGACCAGAAACAGACGTGGCGGGGCAGCCCGGACACAGGGGGCAGCCCGGACCCAGGGGACAGCCCGGACACAGGCGGCGGCTCTGAAGGGACCTGTGAAGGCAGGTCCTGTGTTCTTCTGCAGAAAAGCCGCTCAAGAAAGAGTAAAGGCTCTGCTGTGGGAAGGCTGGACAGTGTGGCACATGGCCAGAGACAACAGGCCACAGCCTGCCCACCACATCCATGCCTGGCTTTGGAAATAAAATGCTATTGGAATACAGCCACAGCCTGTGTCACCTCCAAAGCTGCTGTCACACTCCAAAGGCAGAGCTGAGGAGTGGCAACAGAGCCCAAAGGGCCCCACAAAGACTAACATCTTTACTCTCTGGCCCTTTACAGAAAGCGTTGGGTGACCTCTGCGTGTGAGATCGTCTGAAAGGTGGTGGAGCCAGGTGCAGTGCAAACGTCCAGGTGTGACTGTGACCCAAGGTGGCAGGTTCCTCCACTGCAGGGGGCACAGAGGAAAGGGTGGGAAGGTGGGACATGTCTGTGAGGTACATTCTGCCCGAATTTGAAAACTGCAGCCAGCTTGACCTGTCAGCTCTACGAAGCCATGCCAGTCCTGGTCGTGCCCACCCCCCAGCCCATCACTGGTGTCTGCCTGGCTCCACCCATTCTAGTCCTGCCCCAGGGACATGGCTCTCCTCCTTCCCTGTCCTTCCAGCCCAAGCAGTCACTAGGTGCTCTGTGCATGATTTCCTAAATAGTTTAGGCTTCATCTCTTGCTTGGGTTATTACAGAAGCTTCCCCACCGGTCTCTCCTTTTTCCAGCCTGCCTTCAATGCTCCGATCAGAACTGACATTCTCACATTCTGATAGTGCTATTATGATGTCCCTCGGAGCTTCAAACAAACTCATTGGCTCGCTGTTGCCTCCGGGATAAAATCAGCCCCCTTGCTTTGAACACGAGAGTTTCACAAGCTGTCTCCCAATAGGCTCTCTGGCTTCAGCTTCTGCAGCCTTCAAGTGTTCCTCCCCCTACCTCACTATTTTCCATCACCCACATCGTACATCACACATCCTCTAACTTCTCGCTGGTCCCCAAATCTGCCCTTCTGTTTCATAATATAATTTTGCACGTGCTGTTCCTTCTGTCAGAAATGCTCTCCCCCCTCTCCTGCCTGACACACCCCTACATTGCAAACCCTTGCTCAGCTGCTGCACTTATTGGATGCCATGTCTGCATTTCCTATAAACACACTCTATTTTCCAGGATTGCGTTGCACTTTGATTGTATTTCCTTCAAAGCATATACTATTCTTCATTATAACTGATATTAAAAAATTGAGAAGTTAGCCACATACACATTTACCACTCCTGCTAGACTGTGAGCTTGAAGGGAAGAATCATGCTGTATTTGTCTGTAGGTTGCAAGTCTCTAGTTTGGTGCCTGGTAAGCGCTCTGTAGGTGGCTATTCGGATCAAGGAGGTGAAGAGGGAGGAAGGGAGAGAGGAGAAAAGGAGAGAGAAGGGGGAACGGGAGGGACTAAATGGATGGTATCCTTCATTTTCTCTCTTAACAAGGTAGGTTTCTTTTAATCAGTTCTATCTTTCATCACTAAATTTCAGTCTTGAGCACCTACAAAGCCCCATCCTGGATTTACAATTTTAAAAAATCAGCCTCTGCCACCGAGGCGCTAACAGCCTAGAAGATGAGGAAAAGTAAACAAAGATAATTACAGTCTAATAAATGTTTACTACTCATTCTCTACGCGCTGGTATTTTAGCAGCAGAGACCTTTCGGAGCCCCTCACTTCTTTCTTCTCTTATCAATCGCTGTTGACTTTTAGTCTTGGTCTCCTCCGTGTATGTCTCAGATTAGTTTTCTATCACGTCATACCTATGTTGAAAAGACTCAGAGAAGAAAACACACGTCCCTCTCTCTGGGATTCAAGGCGCCTCATGTCTGCCTGTTCCCTGTTCTTGAACGTCACCTCCCATTACTTCCCACTGCGATGACTCCTCTTCCATCAGGTCATGAACTCCGACCTTCATGGGCACTGGGAAGCATGCGCTATGGTTGGATTAGCAGTGCAGAAACATTTTTCTGGCAGCACAGAAACTTGAAGGCGCACGTTGGAAGACAGGAGACCCGATAGGAAGGCAGAGCAAGAGACAAAAGGGCCCGGGCGAGTTAAGATAGAGATTTTAAAATATTGAACAGTGATACTGAAGGATTTGGTGGCCCACGAAGGTGGAAATGAAGAAAAAAGGAAACCAAGTGTGATTCTGAAAGCCTTATCCTGGAAAAGTGGTAGGAAAAAAAATGCTATTTCACACAGAACATTGAGGAGGAAGAACTTGCTTTGGAGCGTCAGCAAGGTATCCAGATCAAGGTGCCCAGCGCTTAACAGAAAGTTTGGAAACAGTGATGCAGGCTCGTCCTCGTAGAGAGGGAGGTGAGCGGAGGAGGTCTCCAGGCTGGCTGCAGAGCAAGGGAAGATTCAGAAATTACATAGAGCACAGGTAGGGCTGTCGAGCCCAGGAAGGGAACTGCTAGGGAGCAGGAAGAATATAGGGGAGCAGGTGTGCGCGGCGAGGCGCGCTCCACCGGATGCCCCCAAGGAGTCAGAGAAGAGGTCTGGGCGACCTTCTAGAGAGGAATGTCGGCTGAATGTTTGAGCCAGAGGTCAAACCGCTGGGTTTGAAAGTCTGCAGAGATGATTTGGTCTTGCAAAGCTACAGTCTTAAGTTAATGAAAACCAAAGGAGAAAGCTTATTAGAAAATGAGAGTAAATAATTTGAGGTCACCCCTGCCTGGCCTGCTACCATGTAAGTTAACACAAAATCATGCTATTTGTGTGTGTGTATGTAGGCGAAAAGGTTTTCAAGATAATAGAAATATAACTGGTTGCGAGGACTAGTAAGTAATGTAGAATATAGACACATCCGTGGGCATGAACATTCAAGTGAATACCTAGAAATTGAAGAGCAACAAAAGGGTACTTACAGTATGAGAGAATCTTTTGATTCTTTTGACAAAGCGTTGGCCATTATCGGTTTGCATGTTCACACCAAGTTCAAAGACCTTAGGTATTGAAAAACCAAAGCTGAAACTCGACTGGCTTCTTTCCATGTTTGTGACGTTACTTTCAAAATCTGAGTAGGATTCATATTCTATCAGCGCAAATTCATATTTGCCTTGGGTCTAAAAGGAGAAAAAAGGAAATGTTCCTCATTTATCTGCCTCGCATCGGTTCGGTACCAATCAGCACCTACAGCACTCTTATGATGGGCCCGCTGCTGGACCAGGAGCTCCGGATACGGGGAATCCGAGCCCACTCTGCGCGGCCCCAGCAGGAGAGAACGGAGGGCTTGGTTAGGATTTCCACGGGCGGAAACGTGGGAGAGCGTCCTGGGCTGTGGACTCGGCCTAGGCACGGAGGTGGCACAGGGCAGGACGCATTTAAAAACCGCGAGGGGTTCTAGTGCGGTTGCGTCAGAAGCCCCGGGAGTGGGAGAGAGGTGTTGTGAGAGAATGTGCTGGCCCACAGTGCCGGGGCGTCTGGGGGACTCGCTCTGAAGTTGGACTGGCCACAAACAGCAGCAGAGGCTCGGGAAGCTCCTTACAGGACAACGAAGTGGTCGGGCAGGCAGGGGTGGATTAAGGGTCGGAGACAGGCCAGTGAGGAGGCTGTAGGAGGACGTCGTGACAGGTGAAGAGGGTGTGATCAGAGGGAGTGCGGTGGGGACAAAGCGACAGGGGCAGGAAGATGCCTTTGAGACCACGCAGAGGAGCTATCAGTTTGAAAATCAGGGCTGAGCATCCTGTGCACAGGGCAATGGCCAAGGGTACTGCCTTGGTGGCCCCAGAGTGACCAGTCCCCAGCTGTCTGCACTCCCATCCCATCAGCTCCTAGAGACTTGTGGCCCATGACACCTGAGCTGCCATGAAGGAGAAACAGCAGGGCTTCCCCGTGCGGCCGGGGCAGGCTGCTCAGGGTGGAGCGTCACTGCCGTTTGCAAGTCGGGTAGCCGTGGCATCCCGCTGAACCGCTCCGTGGCTCGGTGTCCTCACGAGCAAAGCACACACAACAATGCTTCCTGCCCCTGGGCTAGTTCTGAGGGTTAGGACAGGGTGCAGTGTTCAAAACAAGTTGGCTGTGCAGGGAGGAGACCAGATACACAGGGTGGGGAGAAAGTAGGTCTACCGTTGTGAGTGCTCCAACACAGTTACTTCTGGTATCGTGGTTGAGTAATTGCTGTGTTAGTTTCCCTGTGAGTGGCTGTAAACCTAGTTTCGTCCCCCCGCCCCCATCCTGCCTGGGTGAGGAGCTACTTTAGCAGGGGTATTAAAAGTCTGCGCTAAGATCCTCCCTTGAAAGTAGAGGCTGTGGGGAGGGCCCTGGCCCCATGGGAGGGCATGTCTTCCCAGGCTCATTTTTTCTTTTTGGCCATAAAAAAAAAGGGTGTAGCGCCCTGGCCGGTTTGGCTCAGCGGTTAGAGCATCCGCCTGCGGTCCGGAGAGACCCGGGTTTGGTTCCCGCTAGGGGCACGTACCTCGGTTGCAGTTTGTCCCCGGCCCTGGTTGGTCGTGTGGGTGGCAGCCACTCGATGTGTCCCTTTCACATCGATGTTTCTCTCTCTCTCTCTTCCTCTCTCTCCCTCCCACTCTGTCTGTGCAAAGAATGGAAAAATGTCCTCGGGCGAGGATTAAAAAAAAAAAAAAAAAAAGGGTGTAGGAAGGGGAGGGGGTGGCTGACCGCCAGGACGGCACAGTTTCAGAAGTGGGAACCACCAGCAAGGTGATCTTGTCCAGACCTCATTTTACAAATGAGGGAACGGAGGTCCAGTGTAGAAAAGGAACTTGGGCTAAAGAAAAATGGGGACCTGCAGCCGAGCCAGGCCTCAAACCCCAGTGTCTTCTCCTCGGGTCTACGTGCACGTGACGCGCTGCACATCGTCTGTCCTGCACGGCTCTCCGTGAGATTGCTTTGACGTTTGTGTGCTAATCCTGACAGGCTTCCGTGGGTAGACCATTTGTAACTTCAGTGCTTCGAGGAATGCTGGTTCTAACAGGCAAGGGCCTGGTAACAAGTTAACGTTTCCTGAGACGGCCCTTCAACCAGGCGCCGTGTCTGCTGAGAATCACACGGTTTCTCAGCAGCCCCCTCCCTGCAGGCGGACCTGTACAAGTCCCCGCTTAACGGCAAGGACAGGGAGGCTCAGAGCACTTAGGGTTACACAGATGGCAAACTGCAGAGCCACTGAGTTTGCGAGACTCCAATTCCTAAGCTGCACTTCTGTCTTCGACTGATGTTAATTTCAGTACAATTACCGCTACCTCGACTATCCATGTTACTAGTCTGTGCGCCTGCCTCACCACATGTCCTGAGGAAGGAACCACCCCCTTTACCCACGAAGGACCAAAGCTCAGAGTGACGCTGCCAAGCTCACCCAGCAGCAGGCTGCAGGCCTGGCCTCTAGCGGGCTCCTCCCCAGTGCTCACTGCCCTGCCGGGGCTTCCTAGCTGTCACGTACCTGTGGGGTGAAGCTTTCCACGTTGTATGGCTTCCGAAACCTCGTGTTCAATATGAAATGGGGGGAGCATGCACCGCCGTAATACCTGTGATCGAGAACCGGGCCCTCGAAACTGTTTGTGAACAAGTTAACCCTGCAGGGAAGGCACGGAGAGGAAGCAGAGGCATAGGTAAGCTGCAGGTTGTCATTTCAACTGGTAGACCTGCTCACTGGTCGGTGCACCTACAGGACTCCTTGGCACGGTGTTCAAGGCCCTCAGCATCTGGTAGACAGCAGCTCCCCGGCTTCATCTCTGGCCACTCCCAACCACAACCACAACCACATACCCTAGTCTCCAGCCACGTGGAGAGGCCCGCTCTTCCTCCCATGTGCTTTGCTCCTGCTCTTAGGTGAAGGGGCTGTTCCTACGCCCAGCATGCCCTTCCAGCCACTCATTGGGTTTTTTCCTTATCTTCCCAGACAGCTCTGTTGTTCCCGTGGTGGGAAGCCCGCACGGACACGGGTACCCAGCAGCACGCGAGCCTGTGCTTGCCCCATCGTGCGCTTACCGTTCTGTGCCATACAGCTGCCCCAGCAGGACGGTGTGACGCAACAGGTAAGAGCTCGGGAGCCAGAGCCGGGAGGGGAGGGTCAAATCCCTGCTCTGCCCTTTGTGAGTTACGGGGCCTCGGGCACACCCGTTAACCTCGCGATACCTCAGTCTCCTCAGCTATAAAATGGGGACAAGGAGAGTACCTACCCCATGGGTAGTTGAGAGGGGCCCATGTGTCATACTTGTGAAGTGTCTAGAATACTGCTGGGTCCATGATCAATGCTTGTTATTCACTGTGTCTGTGTCCCCACAGATTGTGGGCCCCTGGAGGATGGGGTTCTCTTCTGAGTTTCTGTAGTACTTGCAGCACAAGGCACCAAAATAATGACCACGTACTGAGGTCTAACTGCAAACCTGAAGCAAACATACGTCCCTGAAGCCCAGGATGGCAGATATCCTTATGTCTCTTTAGAAGGGATGGAAATCCCATCTCTAATTAGATGTACTGCTCACTGTCCCCAAAGGGAGGCCTCCACCTGGTTCAGTTCTGACCGCTACCAAAAGTTCTTTCTTTTTTTATTTTTTGGTACGTGCCCCTAGCGGGAATCGAACCTGGGACTCTCTGGTCCGCAGTCTGATGCTCCAACTGCTGAGCCAAACCGTCCAGGGCCCGAAAGTTCTTTCTTGTGTTGAAAGGAGTTCTGTTTCCTTTCTGCTCTGCCCACTGACCTCGGTTCTGTTCCTAACAGAATCATCTTAGGCTCTCCTCCTAACAGCAGTTGCACATATCATAAAAATGTATATATATTTAGTTTATTCAACAAGTATAATATGACGCTTACTTTATGGAAGCACTGTAATAATTGATGTACACATATTAACGCATTTAATCCTTATGAGACAGGGATTATTATTGTACCCATTTTACAGATGAGGAAAGTGAGGCACAGACAGGGTCACTGGACCGCCAGAAGCAACTGGTGGGGCCAGGATTCCAAGTCTAAGGGTCTAGTTCTGGAACAGAGGCGGCGTTCTTCCCACACACAAACTGCCTCTCACTTAGTTTCTTACAAGCCCATTAGTTTCTTCAGCCCTCCCTGAACTTGAGGGCAGGGTATTACTGACTTCCTTCCAGAGACGACAAAACTAAAGGCTCCCATGGATGAGGGCTTTCCCTGAAGCCCCGTGGCCAGTGAGCTTGCACTTGTACTCCAGTGCCGGCTCTGAACGTCCACGCCGTCCCCTGTGGCAGCCGCGTGACCCCTGGGCCCTGTCTTCACTTTTCCTTACCAAAGTGGGGTTATGATGGCTGGCCGGAAAAGTGGCCCTGGGAGGACGTCTTCCCCATACGAGGAGTCTCTCTCTCTGTCTCTCTTATTGCACTGTTTCAGGAGTGAGGTTTGATTTTTGTTTAGGAAGAAGGTGACTTCCATTCAGGATCACCGCCCTCCTCCCCACACTGTCACATGTGGTGATTTCTGCTGCAGGTGAGGGAGGCTCCCACTCCTCCCCTGCAAGCGGAGGAGCTGGAGAATGTGGCCGGCGAGGACGGCAAACACGGCCAATGTGGTCCCTCCTGACCGTCTCCTTGGACCTCGCCAGAGGAGTGGACCAACTCAGAGACCCCGCCGCTGGAAACATGGATTGGCTGCAGACTCATCCTGGACATCTATTCCTTCACTAACTGCTTAGCAGCCTCTCCCCTGGGCCAGACCCTGAGCTAGGGTCTCGGGTCACAGAACAGGTAAAACCTCCTTCACGACTGGGCAGTGGGATTCCAGGGTAAGGCCCAGAGACCACCGCAGGGTCACACAGCGGGAGCTAGATGAACATGTATCTGCAGTCCTCACGTGGGACCTCTGCGGTCTCCACACGCAACTCCGTCACTCGTGGTCCTAGCTGAGCCCCCCTTGTGACCTGTGGACGTCCATGGGACGTGTTCTGGGAGCTCCTCAGAGGGAAGCCACCAGCATCCACTCATACCACAGTCTTTTATCAAAAAGGAGAAAAGAAGCAATCTGTTCATATCAGCTTCTTCTTCTCTAGAATTACATTTAATTGAGCACCTTCTCATCTATACAATAGAAACACAGTAACTTACCCACTGGCCAGATTGCCAATTGCCCAGTACTGGTCCATTTCCTGCTGACACTTTTTATAAATCCTTCTACAGTTTGCCTCATCTGACTGGTCCCCACAGTCATTGTCCCCATTGCAAAGAAGTCTGCGGTTCACACACCTTCCTGGGATGGGAAGAGGATGTTACTTGCAGTTACATGGCTGTCAGATGGGACCGAACACGCTATGAGCACCTACGGTGCAGCAGGCAATTTCTAGGCCTTTAACACTTCACTTTGACATGCATCACAGTGGTAATGACATGTACACTTTACTCCCCAAAAGGGGCCAGTGTTGCATTTCTGAAAGCACTTTGAGGGGAGCTGATTAAGGGAGGGGACAGGAAAGTGCCTGCTCGGCAGAGGTCAGTGGCCAGACAGGAAGCCTGAACTTCTCTCCCTGAGGCTGGTGGGTTTGTGGGTCCTGCAGGTCATAGCAGCCGTGTGGCCTTCCATATGTTTAACCCTCTGCCTCAACTCATCTGTAAAGTAGGGAAGTCATCATACCTGCCCGCTAGGGTGGCTGGGGATCTGAACGAGTAAATAGAACCGTACTGAGCCATGGTGCCCGCCCGCCAAGCACTGTCATTACTGTCACCGGTGTGTCTGTGGGCCAAGCGCACATTGCCAGTGAATAGCTGCAGCAGGGTGGGAACCTACAACTGTCTGATCACAATTCTTCCCACTAAACCACACTGCCTGCAACACGGCAGCCATTTGGACTATTTTTCGATTATAAAAGTATTTGGGCTACATGTGTGAAATTATCTGTAGCATTTGACTAACTTGACTTTCCTTATTATTTGTATATTCTAGGGGGATAAAGCCCATAATACAGGTGAACCTGTTTCCTTAGATGTGTCTGGTCACTTTTGACCAATGTTCCTGGGCGGTATAGGCAGAATAACAGTCTGGTCCTCAAATGTTTCTTACAAGGCATTTCGAGTAGAGCATGCCCGAATAGCATCCTGGCCTCGGTCGGAGTCACGGAACACTGGCATAACGAGTCCGTGGACGCACTGGGAAAAGGGCTTCCAGGGTTATTGGATGGGATTTTTGCATTTGGAATAAGCCCTAGAAATTGTTCTTTGAATCCCCAACTCTTTCTTAACAGATCCCAAAGCACAGTCCACATGGGCACAGCAAATATAGAGTTGTAGCTCCTACCTAGATAATTTGGGTCGAAACACTCTTACTTTTGCTGTACCCTTGGAGAAATAGACAGGCATCTGGTTGCTTGAATGAGTCAGATGAGTGAGTTGAAAAGATGTGTTTACAGAGTTCTGCAGGTGATGATTATTTATTTGTGTGCTCCTTCCTTCCTTCTGTCTGTTCATTCATCTTCTTCCCTCCTCCTATCCTCCCTCCCTCCCTCCCTCCCTCCCTCCCTCCCCCCTCCCTCCCTCCCTCCCTCCCTCCCTCCCTTCCTTCCTCCCTTCCTCCCTCCTTCCCTCCCTCCCTCCTTCCCTCCCTCCCTCCCTCCCTTCCTCCCTTCCGTTAAGAATGCTTTACTGACTGCATCATGCATTAGGGGCTACGCTGCACTTGGAGATACAGAACTGCAGAGGCAGGAACTCTCTGCACAGGTTTCTCAGAGACAAAGGATGTGCCGCCCCTGCTGAGCCGGCCCAGCTCTGCCTCTAGAGCCAGCACAGCTCACAGTCTGGAAGGAGCTCTCACGCCCATCATGCCCCTCGATCCTTAGGACAAACTTGTAAGGTATTGACATCACTTCTGATTTTCTGTCGAGGGAACTGCCATGCAGAAAGCTTAAGTGGCTTCTCCTAGGTCCCAAGGTCCCAATGAGACTCGACTCAGGATTTCCGACTCCAGCTCACGTCCTTTTGGTGCCCTCGATGTCAGTGGGTGTGATCTGAATTCCCACATTTCCCCTTGCAGCTTTTCCACTTACCTGCCGTGTGACCTTCAGCAAGGAACTTCTCCAAGTCCGAATTTCTTAATGTGTAAAATGGGGACACTAACGCCACCTTTACAGGACTGTTTTTATGAAGTAATACATGGAAAAGGAGGAGAGATTTGAAGACCAGGCCTCCTGGCCGGACAGGTGACCCTGAGCTCGGGCACCAGGCCAGGGCCACCAGCATCACGTGCCAGGGCCTACTTCGCCAGTCTCCCCTCCCACGCCTGCGTCCCTTATACCTGTCTGTGCACACACGAAGCCTTCGCACCGCACTTGACTTCTGCACGGTGCGTTGGTCACGCAGTCTTCGGCTTCCTTGTCAGGGTTGTTGCACGGGTCCCCGTGGAACTGCGAGGGTCGGAGCAAGACGGCGTGTCTGTACTGGAGTGAAGGGGTTCGAGGTGAGCGAGGGCAGAGCCTCAGGGACCCCGGGAGCTTAGGGATATGCGTGAGGATCTGGGTGGCGGTTGGCCGCTTGCCTACAACTCCACAGTGAGCTCTCTGAGGGCAGGGGCCTTGTCTGATCTCGGCATCTGCAGTGACCAGTAAAGATTCGCTGAATGTGGCAAAAACTCAGGCTCTGGGATCAAAAGGTGGTAAACAGATCGATGTGGTCAGCTCAATAACATGAAACCACAGTCTCTCCGCTTGATTACTCCAAAGGGCTGGCTCAATATTCTCATTTACTCGGTATCTTATAAATGCAAAAGCATGCCCTTGGGAGCCAACGCAGGCTCTGATCCTTTCTAGTCATGTGATGTTGGGCAAGTTACTTAACCTCTACGATCTCAGTTGACGGGTCTTTAAAGTGGAGATAATGAATTATGTAAAAGCACGGTTATGAAGTATCAATTACATATTGATGTATATATAAAATCTCATTGTGTAGTCTGGTACATAGTAGGCACTAAATTTCTGGTACTTATTTTTTTTTTTTATATTATTAATACTTTTTAGCAGTCAATCTTTCTCTCTCTCCATCTTCCCGTTTGTTTATTCCAGGAACATTGATTGAATTTCCAAAATATTGATTGAGCCACCCAATGGTTAAGAAAAAAAAATAGTAGGTGTTATTTGGGCTTGCTTTTTGTTTTTCATCCTGATCATGTCCTCTGGCTGCACTCAAGGAGGTCACAGATGTGGTGATAGGCCGGGGGGCAGCCGGCCATGACCACGCAGAAATGGGGAGCATGAGACCGGGAGAATGAGTGCTCTGTAAACCCACAGCATCTAAACCGAGCCCCCGAGGATGAACAGAAACGTTGGGCAGGCATGGAGCTGGCGAGAGAGCAGAGAAGAGCACGCGGGTGGAGTGAGTGCTGAGCCGACGCTGACCAATGCTGAGAGGCCAGAGACGTGCCTTGTTCCTGGAAACCTTGCTCATCGTGGCCGCAGTGAGGAGCAAGAGCGAGAGGCCGGAGGTGAAGGGAGCCAGGCTCAGGACGGTGGACTCGGCATTTGATTCTGGGGCACTGAGAACCCGCTGTAGGGGAAGGGAGTGATCCATTTGGGTGGCTTCCAGATGCTAGTGGCAGTCAAGATTTTGGTGCAGCCAAAGGGGGCAAACCAGCCGTGGCCAGTGTGGCTCATTCGGATGAATGTTGTCCCGTGCACCGAAAGGCCACCAGTTTGATTCCCGGTCAGGACGCATGCCCAGGTTGCGGGTTCTATACCCAGTCGGGGTGCGTGTGGGAGGCAACAGATCAATGTTTCTCTTTCACACTGATGTTTTTCTCTCTCCCTCTCTCTTCCTCTCTCTCTAAAATCAATTTTAAAAAATAAAATAAAATAAAAACATTAAAAAAAGGGGTGCAAACCAGGCTAGCAGTCCCTCTGCAGAGTGACATGTTAAGCACAGTTTTACTTGTGTGCTATCTGGAAATCCAAAGCAGAAATGTAGACAACCTTTCACCCATGCTCCTTGGACTTCCAGAGGGTCTCTGGTCCCCAAAGGCAGAGGCTGGCAGAACAGGGGTCAGGTCAGCAGACAAGACTGTCCCAGCCTGAAGACACATTGGTTTGAGGAGTGTGGACATGATGGAGGAAGGGCAGCTCCCAATCCCAGTTTGAGAGGTTTTGCTGCAGCCCCAGCCGTGGGCCGCTGACGGGGGTGCTGTCCAGCGGAGGGAAGGGGGCAGCAAAGCCTGAGCAAGAGCTCTGGATGGCTGGATGCGCGGGCGACTCATGCTGAGTCTTCCCGGTTTATGGTGTGGATGAAGCAATTACCCAGATAATCGGATCGATGTTGATAACTTCAGCAATAAAGCCTGCTTTGGGAACCCAATGATCCTGCTTGGCTCTCTACATTGATCCAATTAAGTGTGAAATTGTCCTGGGCCTACTTCCACAGCTTCTTTGGGGGCCTAGCCCATGGCTGGTTTGGGTTCCCAGGAGCTGGGAAATGATAACCATCCTCTGACACATCTGCGGCTCAGAGCTGGGATCCTGGGCCAGCCTCCTATGACAAAGGAGCCTGAAGGACAACCACTGCAGAGACTGTGTGTTCTGACGGATGGAACACCAGGCAAGAAGCCAGTGGCCTGAGTTCAATGCCTGAGTTTGCTTCCCGGTGAACCTGGGAACTCACTTACCTGCTCTGAGTCTCTGTTTACCTGTCTGCTTAACAGAGAGTTTAATAACTATTCTCCCTTCTTCACAAGATATCAGAAAATATAATAAGATCAAACAACACACATTTATGGAACACCTATCATGTGCCAGAAATTGGCCTATACACTGAAGATAAAGAATTGAGTAAGCCTTTAACAGCTCACAGTTCAGTGGAAAGCTAAATAATGAAGGAAAAATAAATAAGAAATGCAAGGGTGTCGGAGGAAGAGGGATCTACTACCGTTCATAAAAGGGTGCCCATCTAACTGTAAGTGGGGCCCATCTAGCTGTAAGTGGGGCTGAGAAACCAGGGAAGGCTCCTCAAAAGAAGTAGCCCCTAAGCAGTTTCAAATTGTGAGTAGGTGTTAGCCAGTAAGGGAAGTGGGGAAGGTCACTCCTGCCTGAGAAAGCAGCAGGAATAAGGCACAGGGGGTGGAATGGTCAGAAAAATAGAGGCGTCCATTGTGCTGGACTGGGGGACTTTTATGGAGATGTAGGCCAGGTCTAGGTCATGGGGGGCATGGACTTGATCCTAAGGGCTGCAGGTAGACTTTGAATGATCTCAGGCCGGGAAAAGACAGGCCCAGTTGCATTTTTGATGCCTCCCTCTGGGCGCATAAGAAAAGTTGGATTGAACGGCAAGGTTGGAGGCAGGAAGCCTAATTAGGAAGCTGTGAGCAAGAGCAAGGACACATGTTTAGAAAAAGCTGAAAGATCAAAGAAAGGATGGCATTGCTACTCAGAAGCATAGAGAATTAGACTCCATTAATTCAATCAGCTAACATTTACTGAGGTCCTACTATGCAGCAGACGATGTCAGTAGTGCCGAGGATTGGGGTTCCTGGAAGCTTAGGGTTCTCAAGGCCTGGGTACTTACCCTTTTCTTCTGACAGGGATCACACCTGGTCCAGGAGGACCAGCTGGACAATTCACAATTAATAGGCATCAAGGTGACATCCACACCCCGTGTCTGCCTGCTCTTGGCAAGGCTCTCATTGACTGCATTTGACTCCAGAGAGGGTGGCCTTTCACCTCTAAAATGTCATGAGAGAAGAAAGCCAAGTATCAGTAGGGAATTAAGTGTACATACAACCACCCGTCCATCCATCCTATACATATATATTTGCTCACTTGTGCAAGGCTATTAGTTTATCATTCAAGTATAGGTTAATATTTATTATGACTAGCTGTGGTATATTGAACTTGGGTCAGAAGACAGTCCATTATATTTCTCAGCAGAAATCCTGCAGGCCAGAAGGGATTGGCAAGAAAAATTCAAAGAGATGTAAAGCAAGGATCTACAACCAAGATTACTCTACACAATAAAACTATCATTTAGAATGGGAAGACAGACAAAGATCTTCCCAGAGAAGAAAAAGCTAAAGGAGTTCATCACCACCAAACCAGTATTATATGAAATGTTAAAGGGCCTTTTTTAAGAAGAAAAAGAAAGATTAAAAACATGAACAATAAAATGGTAATACATATATATCTATCAACAACTGCATCTAAAAAACAAAATAAATGAACAAGCAGAACAGAAACAGAATCATAGTTACAGAGAACATTTTGTTGTTGCCAAGATGGGAGGGGGGTTTGTGGGAGCAATATAAAGGTGAAGGGATTAAAGAAGTTCAAATTGGCATTACAGAATAGTCATGGGGATGTACAGTACAGCACAGGGAATATAGTCAATAATATTCCAATAACTATATATGGTGCCAGATGAGTGCGAGATTTATCGGGATGATGACTTCTTAGTAAGTTATGTAACGTCTAATCACTGGGATGTACACCTAAAATAATGTATGTCAACTGTAATTAAAAAATAAAAAAATGATTTAAACAAAACCCTAACCCTAACCATCAAGAACATCTAGGATCTTATATACAGGACGGGGCAAAGGTAGGTTTACAGTTGTTTGTATGGAAAAGAATACAATAATTGATAAATAATAATATAAGAATAAACTCTGTTTCACGTACTCACAACTATAAACCTACATTTGCTCCACCCTGTATTTCTATCAAAATGGGGTTAATTAATTTTTTAAATCCTCACTTGAGGATATATTTTTAGAGAGAGTAGAAGGGGGGGAGGGAGAAACATAGACATGAAAGAGACACGTTGATTGGTTGCCTCCTGCACGACCCCAACCAGGGCCAGGGATCAAACCTGCAACCTAAGCATGTTCCTTTTACTGGGCTTGAATCCATGGCCATTTGGTCCACAGGCTGATGTTCCAACCTCTAAGTCAAACCAGCCAGGGCAAAGTGGGTAATTTTAGATTTAATGTAAGTTTAGTCAAATACATAATAAAATATATGTAACTGAACATGAGATAAGCCATTTGGGGCTGGGACAAATTCCTGTCTTGCAATTTTCCATTCAGAAGAAATTGTTCTCAAAGAAAGTCGAGAAACCTGTTACAGATCAGTTTCTTAGGCAAAAGGAGAAGACTAGGAATTAGACTTTCAAAAACATTTTATGTCCCTTAACCTGCCCGCATCCCTCTTAACCACACCACAGGCTTCTTGATGTTTTCAAAAGGCAAATTTATAGTATGAAACAGAAAAAATAACCTTTTTAAGATTGCTAGACTACGTAATATAAGCTTTGATATGATAACTTCAGTTTAGGCACACAACTTCTTTCAGAGCTTAATTGACAAAATACTTTGCTCTCCACTGCTTTTGTCAGAACATGGCTCTCCAAGTAAGAGCAGCCCAAGTACTTCTATCGGATACAGCTGTCCAGTGTGGACCAGTGCACGCCTGTGCCCAGTTCTGTAAGTTAGAAACATTTCTCCGCTAGTGGCTTCAGCTAAACGAGCTCCTTTGTGGTCACCTCACTATGCAACATTCTAAGAAATTGTAGGATTTAAGGAGCTAGGCATTTGCCAACTGTGCATGAAATACTTCTCTTTTCCAGTTCCGAAGCCACATATATTTAAAATAAATTTCAAGTATTCATTAATTCCTATAAAAAAAAAAAAAAAGGAGAAGACGACGGTCCATCAGCAGCTGGGTCATCTTGGTCTGTTTTGCAACCTGTCTTCACTTTCTCACTCTTATAATGAGATAAGCATAGCCACCTGACAAGGCTATTTCTAGGATCAAATGAAATGTATGTAAAAGCATAAACTCTACAGTGCTGCATATATGTAGGGAATACAGCCACCGCTGGACGTATGAGCTTAAGCAATGCTCTCCCCACCTCTGAGCCTGTTTTTAGCCCCTAGAAGGTGAGAGGTTTGGACTAGATGGTCTTTAGGGTGTCTCATGTTTGCTGAGAACAAACTGTATTCAGGGTACTGGGCTACAAGGGAGGCAGAGAACTATATCATCAGGTTCTTCCTTCAGGAACTCAGGGTTTGTCTTAGTAGGAAGAGAAACGTTTCTCATGTCTTAGGTCTTCCAGAAGTTCCCCAGTAGGCAAGGTTATTCAGCATACGGGCTCCATGCCCAGAGCTGTGTTTGAGAACGCCACTGTGACCGCAGCGTGAGGCGGCCCAGGGGTGTGGAGAGCCCGGGGCAGGCAAAGCAGGCAGGTGGCTCGTGCAGTCGCCCCCGTGAGTGAGGGGAGCCTGAAGCATGGCAGCGTCTGGGAGGGAATGAGGACAGACGTGTGAGACATTTCTCCGGTGGAATGCACGGACAGTGATGGGTCATTGGATGGGGTGTGGGATAGGGTCGACGCAGGTCCCCGGTCTGAGTGTGTGAGTGGGAAACACAGGAGCAGAGGAGCTTACGGGGGAAGATGTGGTTGGAGCATGCTGGGTCCCAGGTGCCCATGGAACACCTGTGTGGTCATTCCACACATGGTTACTGCATGGCTTTAGAACTCGGGCGAGATTTGTCCTACAGACATAGCACAAATCTGATGGTGATCTGACCGTGAGAGAGGATATGACTGTCCTGTGAGGAGGATCAGGGCACGGGTAAGCACCTGGGGAGCGTCTGCACCACTCTGCCAGGCCCAGTGCAGAGGTGATGGGGGGGGGCCCTCTGGGGCGAAGGGGACAGGCCCATGGCCTCACATCTACAGAGAAGTCAATCAGCGTGAGGCCTGAAATACGTCTGGAAGATAGGGCCACTCTTTTTGCTAAGTTCCCGACAGAAGGCAGGGTGTTTGTTTGTTTAGGGCATGATAAACAACTCATTTAAAGAGTGAAGTTACCGAGGCTGACGAGAAAGAAATAAAATCAAGAACAGAATACAGGGGCTAATACATTTAATTTCTTACATGGGGTAGTGTGACCATGGAGGTCCAATGCATTAAATTTTATATCCTTTTGCATATTTTTGTCTTTAATATTTTATAATAAAAAGTTATCTCAAAAAACAAAAACAAAAAACAAACTGTGATTCTCTCTAAAAAAAAAAAAAGAGTGAATGAGTGATCACGGGAGTTCATCTGAATAGGCCTCCAGTTTCCCTATGTAGATGATGGTATCTTACACATTTTATCTTTCTTCTGCCTGAAAGAGCATGTAGCACTGTGAAATGCTTTGTTATCGGTGTTCCTTTTCAAGGCAAAACGTAGAGGAAAAGTGAGGAGAAGAGAAGGCGCACTAAGCACCTGGGCGGGTCAAACCCTCTGGGAGGTGTTTTACCCATTCGATCTCACTGAATTCTGCCAGCTATGCTCCAAGACAGCTCCGGGGCACTGCCCCCTGGACGCGTGAGGGGTGGCCTGGAGCCCCGCCGCTGGCATGCGGTGGGCGTGGGGTCTTAGCCCAGGTTTGTTGACTCTGGAGCCTGTGCGGTGTCCATGGCCCCGTGCTGCCTGGAAGGGGACAGGGCAGCATCCACTCCACAGGCCCCCCGTGTCCAGGCCTCTTTCCTCCCCGTGTTCAAGATTGAGTCATTAGGAAGAGAATCACATCGTTTCCACTGTCTCAAATACGCAGTATATCACTCCAGACAAGGTCATTAACCAATACATTCTCACTTGGCAAAAGTCCTAAAAAGAGGATAATATTAACTACAGCGAAATCCACCTCCAAGGCCACCCCAGAGACCAGCAAAAATCAATTGTCTAATAAAGTGGGATCTTTAAGGAAAGGTCAAAGACTCCACTGGAAACCACAGGTGGATAAAGTGGTAACCTGACGCGGGATGCTGCACACCAGCGGGAGGGGGCACTTCAGAACGGGCTCCTTCCTCTAATTTGCCGCGTCTGACAAAACAATATTGCCTGTGATTTGGCTGCTTTGAGTATGTATTGGACAGCGCTGCAGGGTACCCTCTTGCCTCAACGAAGAAACAGTTACATTGTGTTTTTCTCAACTACCAACCCCAATTCCCACCGCAGCTGAGATTGAGTTGATGAGCAATGTGCACACACACTCTTAAGAGTCACAATTATTTCCTTCTCTGAGATTTGAAAGCCTGTTAATGGGCGAGATGATCGGTCAAGGAACTTGGTAAACAGTAGTTGTAACCAGCAGATCTCTCATTTTTGCACCCAATTTTCATTATGGAGGTAGCGATATAAGAAGTAATCAGCTGAATCAATAGGGTGTTTGTCAGTTACACTGGCGAAGAGGTGTGTGGTTTATGAGTACTACGGAATGCAACTCTGAAAGGCTGGCATTAGATTGTGTCTTTAATTCCTGGGAAGAGCATGGAGCCAAGAAGGGCGGGGCCAGCCGGGGCCTCAGTGCGTGGTTACAACACACTGTTCACGTGTTTCTGCAGAAACCAACCGCAGGGACACTGAGACCAGCCAACCTGACCTTTGTCATTCAAAATCCTCGCTACTTTTAGTGCTGACAAATTAGACCAAAATCACAGACACTCGTGTTCTCACAACCCCGCACCAGCAATTGCTAACATTTTGTTATACATAATTCAAGTTTTTTTTAAATAAAAAATAACTCTATAGTTTTACATCTGCCCCAGTTCCATTTCCTTTCCTCTAAAGAGGGAAATATTGTTATGAATTTGGTATGTATTCTCCTTCCAACCTTTTAAATATTATACACACACACATACATATACGTGTGTGTGTGTGTATAGTACATAGTTGTGTGTACTTTATTCGTGCTGTACATATTATTCTGCAACTTGCCTTTGTCAGTCAACATTATATGTCTGAGGTCTATCTACATCAACTCATAAAGAGATCTAGTTCCTTCCTTCTACCTAGATGTCCCATCACAGGACATATATTGCATTCAGTTTATTCTTTCTTTTTGAAGGACATTTACATTTTGCCAGTGTTTTGCAATAGCAAGTAATGCTACCGTGAGCACCATCTACAAGTTTTTGGAACACATCCTTGTCCGTAAACACAGGCAAGGACAGCCTTCCTCGAGGTGCATGGAGCGCCCGGGCCAGCAGTGGGGCCTATTTCACTGGGTCCCTGTCTCCTACACTCTTTCTATCAGGAGTCTCTGATCAAGATACAGGCGGGCCCATCAAGTGCTGCAGGATTAGGTCAGCAGCCGTGGGGAGCCTCAGTGTGCATCGATGGCGTGCGTCACATGTGGGCTCTCCATGGGAACGTCCTGACGCACCAACGCTCTTGTCGCAGCCCGTTTGTTCGGCAGCTGCATCCATTGGGAAGAGGATCATTCCTGTTTGCTGGGAGGGGCAGCTTCCAGGGGGCAGATGTTCACTTTCTGTTCTCTCTGTCATGCACTGTTGTCGCTGTGAAATTTACAGCAACATCTCAAGGCAACAAATGTGTGGTTCAGAGACAGAGAGAGGGCGCGGAGTCCAGCAGGGCAGACGCACACTTAGTGGGGAAGGGATAATGCAAGAGTGAACGACGCAGGGATACACCCGGCTCTGGAACCAGAAGAAACCTGGATTTGAGTCCTATTCTGTAGCCTTGTGACAGTTAATCTCTCTCCAAATCTCAGCTGCTCTCCCTGTGAACCTCGAGCAGCAGCACTTCCCGCAGACAGCTGTAAGGACCCGCCGACGACCAGTGCCAGGGACAGTGGGTAAATGGCCGGCCTTGCGACGGCGTGATTATTTCATCTGACTTGACTACAAGAGTAACTAGCAATGAAACGTTTCCTAGCTGACGGGAAGGAGGCCTCAGCACTTTCAGTTCCAGAACTGAAGGCTCTTCAAGCACTTCGTGTATGGAAATCAAACACGCGCCGGGTTTGGGACTGCCCCGTAGGATCGGGCAGCGGGCAGAGCACTGAACCTGGTTCAGCGGAGAGTTTGAGATGCACAACACATGAGTGACTCTCCTCTCACAATCAGCTTGCTCATCCACAGTGTGAGTAAGAGATAACACCCAACTCGTGACACCACTGGAGGGTTAATCAAGGTCTGCCCTCTGCCCACCCCCTGGCACTGCCACTCCCTAGCACAGGGTGACTTCCTGGCACACGTCTAAATATGATCGTACTTACTGCTCCTTTGCTTAGAACCTTCCACTGCTCCCCGTTGCCTGGAGGATACGGTACAAGCTCCGTTTTTTCAATTGAACGTATTAGGTTGACACTAGTTAATACAATTATGTAGGTCTCAGGTGTACATTCCATAATAGATCACCTATATATCTTATTGTGCATTCACCACCCCAAGTCCAGTCTCCTTCTATCACCATTTATACCCCCACACCCTCTTCCAGAAGGTGTAGTCTTCTTCTTCTTTTTTTTTTTTTTTTTGTTAATCCTCACCTGAGGATATTTTTCCATTTAATTTTAGAGAGAGTGGAAGGGAAGGAGAGAGAGAGAGAGAGAGGAACATTGATGCGAGAGAGACACATCGATCATTTTCCTCCTGCATACACCCACCTCACCGGGGCTGGAGTCTGCACCTGCGACCATTCAGTGTGCAAGCCGACACTCCAACCAGAGCCTCATGGGCCAGGGCAACAAGCTTCCTAATTGGCACCCTAAGTGCCCCCTCCACTTTGCCCATGATCTGACTCCTACTCCATCTCGTTTCTGTCGCTGTCCCCCTTGGCCTGTGCTACTTCTGTCGCCTCGCAGCTTCAAGGACAAGCCAGGCTCTCGCGTTTCCATGTCTTTGTAATGCTACTCATGCCTGGAACACCCTTACCCCCCTGGGCCATTCAGCAAGCACCTTTCTTCCACAGGCAAAGCTCCGTATCACCCCTTCTAGAAACCCTTGCAGACCCTGTGCCCTATAGAGCTGATCACTCCCTCTCTGGCTTCCCACCTGCCCCAGCACCATCTCTTACAACAGCACACAGAGTGCGTGCTCAGGTGAGGGCTTTCTCTACCAGAACAGGGGCTCTTCGTGTCCTATCCATCTCCGTCCTCGGAGCTGGCGAGGGCCTTGCACAAGGCTCAGTGCTGTGGTCGGGTTGCCATGGTCCCTTCAAACCCTCCATTCCAGACACACGTCCTCAGATCCTGAGTACACATAGTACACACAAGGAAGGCCTTGGCAGCTTGATTCTTCTTAGGGCCACGTTGAGATTTTTGATAATCACAACAGCGATTATTTACCGAACTCCCAATGGGTAGTAAATACACATGGTGCTGGTCTCGGGGTGGTGCCCAGTGGAGCCTGAGTGCTCAGCAGAGCTGAGACCAAGGGTGACCTGGGGGTATGAGGTGCTCCTCACATTAAGTGAGAGGTTGTGCTCAGGGCATTTACGGAACGAATAGATGACAATAACAGGCGTTCTTCCCCCAGGATTGCTCACAGGGAGGCCTGGGATGCCAGAGGGCTTTAACATTTCATGGTGAGACTTCCGTGCGCCAGGAAGACCCCAGCTTGCCAAGTCACTAAGACCTTTTCACTGGAGCCCAAGTTTGAGGTTTCACTCAGATTAAGTTTGAGCTTTGACTCAGATATTTTCTTTAGCCTATTTTGCATCTTACCAATGGAAACAAAAATAATGAAACAAATCAATTAGCATTTAACTGCTGGAAACATCTGTAGTGAGAGAGAGAGAGAGAGAGAGAGACTGAAAAGCCCCCCAAATTAGAGTTGATGAGCAGATAGAGTAGGTCACTCTCATATGGTAAAAATCATTGATAGGAATTGGCCCCCTTTCTTCATACATAACAAACCTTCTTTTGTTACAGAACACACCAAGGCTCTGTTCAGAAGACAAAACGAGTCTCCTATTCTTCTTAGCATGACAAAATACATTTAAACATGTCGGTTTCTCATGGGAACTTCTGTTGAAGTCAGCCGCTTGCTTCCACCATAATATGAAGACAGTTGTTGATACCATTTTATCAGATGCGCGCAAACTGCTTCTAGGGATGATCCTCATTGAATAGGTAGGCGGCAAAGAGACAGCCGCGCCCTGTGGCTTTACACTCCCTGTCCTGTTATTGATCAGGGAATCATTGCGGCTGTCACTTACCCGGAGCCAGGCAAACCGAGACAAGCCAGGGCGGCAGAGAGAAGAGCGAGCTGGGCAGGCGGCCCCCAAGCCCACGCCCGGGATGTCTTCATTTTCTCTCTGAGCCGGGAGGTCCAGCCTAGGTCCATGAGAAATACCCCATCCGCTTCTGTCCCCACCGAGCAAACAGTGCAGCAAAGTAAACACGGCCAGTGGCAGGAAGCCCGTAGACGTTGCGCAGACAGAACATTTGCCCGTAACTCGGGAAAGCAATGGCGATGATAGAACCCTCGGCAGCGGCGGAGTTTCTCCTCGGACAGAGCGGACTCCAGGTGAGCAGCCGGGAGGACAGGCTGCGTGGGGCGATCCTGTGCGCTCACGAGTCCTGGCTGCCTGGGCTCAAACCCGCTCTTCAAAACAGTCCTTTTCCCAAGTACAGTTTACATTCAATATTATTTTGTTTTAGTTTCAGGTGTACAGCAGAGTGGTTAGACAGTCATATACTTTATAAAGCGGGTCCCTCCGATATTTCCAGTACCCACCTGACACCATGCATAGTTATTACCATATTATTGACTATATTCCCTGTGCTGTACTTTATCCCCGTGACTATTGTTTAACTACAATCTGTGCTTCTCAGTCCTTCACCTTTATTTAGCCAGTCCTCCCCCCGCCACACCCCTCCCCTCTGTCAACCATCTGTCTGTTCTCTGTATCTGTGAGTCTGCTTCTGTTTTGTTTATGTTGTTCTTTAGATTCCACATATAAGACAAATCATACGGTCTTTATCTTTCTCTGACTGACTTAAGTCACTTACCGTAATACCTTGTAGGTCCTTTCATGCTCTCGCAAACGGTAAGACTTTGTTCTTTTTTTTATGGCCAAGTAATGTTCCATGGTATATATGTACCACAGCGTTTTATCCATCAACTCCTTTCTTTGCCTCTTACTAACTTTGAGGCCTTGAGCAAGTTCTTTTCCCTCTGTGCCTCAATTTTCTCACTTGAGAAATGATGAGGATTAAATACGGTAACACGCCTACTGTGCTTAGAACAGGCCTATGATGAGTACCCACACACCTGCTGTTACTGGGTGGACTGCAGGGTTTGGAGTCGGGCCCGGATTTGAATTCCACTTTTGCCTTTTCTAGTGATGTGATTTTGAGCAAGTTGGCAGGAGGTTGTAGAGCCCGAGACTCCATCCACCTGAGTCCAAACTCTCTCTGAATGTTTCACCAGCTGTGTGGCCTGAGGCATGTTATCAACCTCTCTGGGCTGGAGCTTCATTATCTGTAAAACAGGATCCACCCCGTGAGGTTAATGTGAAGGTCAGATACATCTATATATTTAAGACACTTTGAGCAGTGCCTGGCACACACGCCCTAAGTGACTGTCTCTGATTCTCTTTCCTTGTATGTAAAACCGAGAGGGGTATGCCTACTTATCACTCGGAGCTGGGAGGTTCAGAAAAGATACTAAATATTGCCCTGGCCAGTTTGGCTTAGCGGTTAGAGTGTCGGCCCACGGACCAAAGGGTCTCAGGTTCGATTCCAAGTCAAGGGCACATACCTAGGTTGCAGGTTTGATCCCCGGCTCTGGTAGGGGTGGTGCGAGAGGCAACCAACTGATGTGTCTCTCTCACATCGATGTTTCTCTCTCTCTCATGCCCCTCCCTCCCTCCATCCCTTCCACTCTCTCTACAAATCAAGGAAAAAATATCCTTGGGTGAGGATTAACAAAATAAAAAAAGATACTAAATGTAAAACTGTTTCACAAATAGGCATTATAAAAATGATAAGTGTAAGATAATAAGTAACCAAATATGTATTGTTATTATATAACTTATGTAGAACTTTATTGTATTTAGGTATTAGATGAATTTAACATTTGTCCCCAATATTTGCCGGTCACCCTAAGAGCCACAAGTGATAGTAATACCTGAAATGAACTCAGTAAATGCCTTTGTCCTTCACCCATCACCTCTCTAACCTTAAAGGTCAGAGGAGACTTGTGGTCTTTCCTCTGGGGTGAACACAGCAAAGACAGCTGCCACGCAGATGTGGTGAATCAGACTTGTTTTATTCGAGCCCAGAAGAGTGCTTCTCCTTCGTCTCTGTATTATTCTGACTAGTTCACTGATTACCCTGTCATTTCTGTGTGGCCTCACCATTAAACTGGATTTCAAAAAAATGTCACACTAAAGCTCTCTTGAAATGGCATAACCCAAGCAGATGTTCACCTCAGTACCTTCCATAGTAATTCCCAGATTGCCTGTGACCAGAGGTGGGATGGGTGTCTTCCCGCCGTCAGTTCCAGTGTGGACACAATGTGCCAGCCCTGACTCCCAACCTGGAGACGGTACCCGCCTGGCTGGGCCAGGGGCGCGGGGTCCGGTGTGGGGACGGTACCCGCCTGGCTGGGCCAGGGGCGCGGGGTCCGGTGTGGGGACGGTACCCGCCAGGCTGGGCCAGGGGTGCGGGGTCCGGTGCAGAGACGGAACCCGCCAGGCTGGGCCAGGGGCGCGGGGTCTGGTGCAGAGACGGTACCCGCCAGGCTGGGCCAGGGGCGCGGGGTCTGGTGCAGAGACGGTACCTGCCTGGCTGGGCCAGGGGCGCGGGGTCCGGTGCGGGGACGGTACCCGCCTGGCTGGGCCAGGGGCGCAGGGTCCGGTGCGGGGATGGTACCCGCCTGGCTGGGCCAGGGGCGCGGGGTCCTGCGTGGGAGCAGCAAGGTGCGGATGCGAAGGTGGTGTGCACATGGCTGAGCCTCTCAAACGCAGCTCCCTGAAAACCAGCACTGATTCCTCAGAATCAGCAAATTAAAGTCCAAACTGCACTCATCTGGCATTTACGAAACCAATCTGCAGTCCGTAAAGGACTGTGTGGACATGGTGGGTAGCTTGAGGGTGGGCTGGGAAAAGAACACAGCCTGGATTTGATGACCTTGAACAGGCTAATTTCTCCGAGACTCTATTTTCTCATCTGTAAAACAGGGATAAGGATTCGTTAATACCCATTTCATAAGGTGGTCCTGAGGTCAGAAGAGATAAAACATTAAGCCCTTATTTCCAGACACAGATTGGCATACTCTTGAGTGCCAGCCTGCTCCCCCACCGGCCACGTCTGCTGGAGGACTGGGCTGCGCTAGCAAGGGCATGGGTGGATAGTCACAGAGGGTAGCAGTCCCTCACTCCGATTGTGCTACAGCCAGAACACAAGGTCCCTGCCAGACTGTCCTGTGTGCAGTGGTGTCCTCATTAACCCCGGCTCAAGGCACTGTCTCACTGTTGTCCCAAAGGACGCAGGGACCTGAACTTTGACACAATTGATTGCAGTAGTTAATCATTTGTAAACAAGCAGAAAATTGCATTTCAAGAAGGATTCATGCCCTCTCTCACGTCTGCCTGCATTTAAGAGAAACCACGTCCTCCCACCTCCTCGGCCTGATAGACTCACGGGGGAACCTGCACATTTTAGAGGAAGTTACACGAATGAGTCATATGCTCTCTCATCTCCAGATGTTTTGTGTCACTTAACAAATATGATTCATTATTTAGATTTCCTACTAATGTCACTTTCTCAAGAAAGGCTTCCTGGTGGACTCTCCTAGGTTCTTAGGTTCCAGGTCTCCTGGAAGACCAATCTCACAGCGCCCCCGGGAGGTTTCAGGTGCACTCACCTGAGATCATACCCGGAGGATGGCAGCCGTAGGCTGCAGTGCTCATACACAGTTTCATATTTTTACTTAATTTTTTTTATCCTCACCCGAGGACACTTTTTTTTTTTTTTTTTTTTGGTATTTATCATCAGAGCAGGAGGGAGACAGGGAGGAAGAAAGAGAGAGAAACATCGATGTGAGAAAGACACATTGAGTGGCTGCCACCTACACAACCCCAACTGGGGCCAGGGACAAACTGCAACCCAGGTACGTGTCCTTAGAGAGAACCAAACCCAGGACTCTCTGGTCCACGGGCCGATACTCTAACCCTCTAACCACTGAGCAAACTGGCCAGGGTTCACTTTTATATTTTTAGATTTTAGAAAGAATTATCTAATATAGACTATACTGTATATAGTTTTTATAAAACTTATTTTTTGCATAACCATTTCTCCCATGCCATTAATATTTCTTTGAAAATATAGTTTTAGTAACTGTATGATATTCTGTCTTATGAAAGTTCCAACATTTACTTAACCATTTGTCTGTTGGTTGATGCTTGGGCTGTTTCCTGTATTTTTTTTTTTTTTTTCACTCTGCAGTCTTCTTCCCCCCCCACCATTGACACCCTCTCCCCTCTCCCATCCCCTCCCCACCTTCACCACACTGTTGTCTGTGTCCATTGGCCATGCCTATATGCATATAAGTTCTTTGATTTATCTCTTCACGCCTCCCACCCCCCCTCCCTCTGAGGTTTGTCAGTCTGTTTCCTGCTTCCATGTCTCTGGGTCTATTTTGTTCATCAGCTTGTTTTGTTCATTAGATTCCACATATAAGTGAGATCATGTGATGTCTGTTTTTCTCTGGCAGGCTTATTGCACTTAGCAAACTACTCTCCAGGTCCTTCCATGTTGTCTTGAAGGATAAGAGGTCTTTCTTTCTCAGAGCTGCATAGTACTTCATTGTGTATATGTACCACAGCTTTTCTATCCACTCATCTACTGATGGGCACTTGGTCTGTTTCCAGATCTTAGTGATTGTAAATAGTGCTGCTATGAACATAGGGGTACATATACTCTTTCTGATTGGTGTTTCAGGCTTCTTAAGATTTATTCCTAGAAGTGGGATCACTGGGTCAAGTGGCAGTTCCATTTTTAATTTTTTGAGGAAACGCCATATTATTTTCCACAGTGGCTGCACCAGTCTGCATTCCCACCAGCAGTACACTAGAGTCCCCTTTTCTCCACACCCTCACTTGCTGTTTGATGATTTGTTGATGGCAGCCATTCTGGCAGATGTGAGGAGATACCCCATAGTCATTTTCAATTGTATCTCTCTGAAGATTAGTGACATTGAGCATTTTTTCACATGTCTCTTGGCCATTTGTAATACACATATTTTTAAAGGACAGTTCTTAGTAATTTAATGGTTTTCTCCACCATCTTGTTTAATCTCAA